TTAACAGTTATTGGAACACTAATTCCTTCTTCTACCATTCTATAGACTTTTACTCATTGTAAAGCAAAGATCAGTTGAATGCATTATTGATATTAATAAGAACAGAGTGATAAAATTAACAGTCACTCAAGTCGTTTATTGTCTATATGTTGTTCGCTCATAGATAAACTGACAAAATGTTAATTCCATTTGGTGATGAATTATGTGAGTTTTCGTTGAAAGGTACTTTTGAACTTGTTGACTATCGTAGTGATATGAATGTTAAGAAGAGCGTGTACTCTTTTGACTTAAGTTGTTTATTTCCTGACATAATTTTATCACAAACTATTGAAATTCTTAATAATTACATATCCTCTAACGACTTCTCATTCCCCAATGACTTACTTAATTTATCTAGGGGATCTTTTATTATGATCTACTGATAAAGTTTATTTCTTTGTTCAAGGTGAACAGTTTTGATGAGATGGCGATGTAACCAAGAGAAGTCACTTAGGATCACTATAGGTTGATGCTTAGATATTAGACAACGAAAATCTGCATGATGGTCTTATCGTTAAAGTTCTCTCTTTACAGGAAATATACTGATGACATCTCATAGTAATTTATGACCTATTAAAAAAGGAGTTAACACTATACAAAGTTATATCAATCTAACATGGGCGGAAAAGAATAAAAATCATCTATCACTCCTAAATGTGCCATTGAGTCGATGAGAAACTGGTTCAAAAAAATGATCGGTCGACAAAAAGCCTACATGAACAGGACTATATCTGAATTTTCATAGTTTTTGTCCACTTCGATAGAAGCCAGATCTAATAAAAAACCTGTTCAATGGGAGCAAACATATTTGCACATTAGGTACAATGGATGAAGATACCGAATCATTGTCCAAAACACTTATAAAAAACAGATATCCACTGAAGTACATAAACCGTTATAGAAGAAAGCTAATAACAAACGCCAGTCTATAATTGCTTCTTGGAAAAAGTGTTCCTATTACTGTTCTATGCAGGGAGGAGTTGAATAGTGCATTTTTGAGACGGAGGCTAAGATCTGCCATTGGTAAAACCTATTACTCAGTCAGACTTAACTTTGTTTCATTATGAACCTAAATACTGCATAAACTGCGATGTTGTACTGTAGTTTACATGTGTGCGTTGACAGGCATACATGGAGAGGAGGATTCGAGACATGCAGTTAGGGGTGGGAAAACATGTGCTTACTTAGACAGTATCATAAATAATTACAGTAAGAAATTTTTGTTAAGTGCAGATGGGCAACAACCGTCTTCATTCATAGATAAACATATCATAGAATTATTGATCAAGCAGTTTTTAAAATTCTCTATTGAAACAGTGAAGGGCGCGTAGTGAGATTTGTAGAAGAGATAGCCGTATGCCAACTGAAGCCATCTTTGTGCAAGCGAAAACGACTTGTTCTTAGACTATATATATACTGGTATACTTTATATATTTGTCACCAATACTGAGACCAGAATATTTTATTCTTTATCACACAATGAAACAGTAGTATTTACTGAAAGAAGTTGTACAGCATCTGTAGTGCTCACAATGATGTGTCGAGATAAATATCCCAAAATTCTAATCAGAAGTCATAACCTGTGCAGTCAGCAGAGTTGTATAGGAGGACAGATATTCACCGATTGCATAGGATGATGACTTTACTCTGTCACTGATTAACAGAAGTGGGAAGGTGTGCACCAAAAGATCCCCAACCAGTTGTTCACCGTGAGACCTAGTTTTCTTGGGGGCGCACTGTTGATGAAGTCTGTAGTAGGACGAAACAGCTGTTTATCGCCTTCAAGTTCTCGGTGGTTATGTACTTGTGGTAAATAACTTTAATAAAACGAGATCAGCTACCATTAAGAAAATTCAATGATATTTCAATTAAAAAGTCCAACATACTCATCAAGGAAAAGTATGCAACAGACAACAATGAAATTACCAATACCATATCATCGGTATTCAATAAAACAAAGTTACCTGCCAATTTTTAAACTAGAGTTTCAAGGTCAACATAAGTTAAGGTGCTTAGAAAGGGACTTAACTTCAGTGTAGCAGATGATGAACTGAAATACAAAGATGTCATTATCGTAATTGAAATAACAATAATTTCAGTAGATAAGAGGAATGTAGAGACGGTATGAATACAATGTATACTACCACACAAATGAAAGAATCAGGTATTATGAATTCACAGAGCAGTCAGACAAAATCTTAGGTGACTGAAGTAAAATTATGATCTAGCTAGCAACTGGGTCTCCTGGTTTAGTTGCCAGAGGATCGGATAGGTAAACTGGGAGCCGATGATTCAACTCCTACCACTACCCTGATTTTCATTTCTCCTTCAATCATCACCCAGTTTCAATGAAATAAAATTTACCAAAAATAGGAATAACGGATTTAAACACCCTTCAGAATGACAATGATATGGTAGTATTAATCATGGACTGACATCAGTTGGAGAACCATTGAAAACCCGGGAGCACTGAACAGCTGTTTCGTCCTAGTATGGGACTCCTCAGCAGTACACACCCACGACCCAGCTAGGGAATGGGTACCTGGATTTACTCGCTTCGAACGAAAAAAAGTTATCTACTAAGTCACTGAGGTGTTCGTATCGATGGTTACGAAGTTCGAGTCTGAGTGGGAAAACATTACTCACCGGGGTTCAGGCACATCCAGCTGAGGAGTCCCATACTAAGATGAAACAGCTGTTCAGTGCTCTCGGGTTTTCAATGGTTCCCCAACTGATATCAGTCCATGATGAGTACTACTTCTAAATTAAAAAATCCCCATTCATCTCAAAAATACTATGGTAATTACTAAATCAAACAAAGGCAAATCAACACTAGTGTTAAACAAACATACAGGGATAGGATCGTTAGAGGAAACTAAGAAACCAATAGACGACGTTATGAATAGGATTAAAGGAACCGAAATATTTCTAATATGTCCAAAGAAGCTGTTTCTAGGTGAGTTGAAATGGTTTAACTTAATGCCGAAAACTAATTATCGTGGTAGGATTTATTGTACCAAAAATGTTCAAGCCAAATTATCCTAATAGACCAATAGTAGACTTGAAAAACACTTCAAACTAATGAGCTAGTTAAATATTTAACCATCGTTCTACGTCCAGTTAAAAACGGTTCTGAATACAGGGTTACTAATTCCCATGACTTGAAGCCTAGCTTAGACGGTGTACATTCAGAAAATAGTGTCGAAAACGGTTAGGTTTGATGTTACTAGTCTGCATACAAATACATAGATTGACATAGCTGAGGAGGCAATTAGAAATGATCTCAGTGTGGATCATAAGCTTACCCCTCCGACTGAGTAACCATTACAGGAGATCATGCTAAGAGTTCACCTTTGCCTTACTTCTACAGTCTTTAGGTTTCCGAATGAAATATACAGACAAACAGAAGGTTCTATGGGGTCGCCATTATCTCCTATCTTGGCAGACATAGTTTTGCATAGTTGGCAACAGCTGATCCTCAAAACATTTAGTCCTACTCTAAAATCATAATTTCGTTACATAAATGATATGTTTACAGTATTGAAATCGGATCACATACATGTATAAATTCAGTAATGAACGCAATCCATTTTACTTATTTATTAAAGAAGGAACAAATGGGATCTAGGTACGTTGGATTACAGAATAAAGCAAAAAAAGACGGAAGGTTGATATACTAATGTTGATAAGAAACCTTCACATTCATATCTTTATCCAGTAAGTAATACTGTTTCATTATGTTATAAATTTAACAGATCAAATGAAATGGAATTGTATTCTGTCAAAATGTTCGAATTCGGTTGAGAGACCATTGAAAACCTGAAAGCACTGGAGAGGTGTTTCGTCCAAGTAGGGAGTTCGTCAGTAGTATGAACCCCTGACCCTGCTGGGGATTGGACTCAGGACTTCTAGGTTTCATCGCAAACTCGTCTATCATCCAAAGTTTTCAGTTGGGATCCGTTTCACTTCTGACTGACTGGCACCGCAAGTGACGGCTTGTTGTAGGAACTTTAGGATATCCATCTCGAAATATGTCCATGATGAATAATACCTTAAAATAAAATCTGCGTAAACCTAAATTATATCTTACATAATTGTTTACTTTGTCCTCCTATTTTTCGTTTTCATACAGATTGATTTAATTAGTAGACATGTTGCGTAGTTCTTCAAAATTGTGTTATACAAGTACGTAACATTGTTTAGACAAAATTTGTCTTCTGATGAACTTAGCCATAGTGATTACATTCACTGATAACGGTTAGATAAAGTTGTATACTGACATTTCACTGAAAATAGAATATTACTACAATATCTATTGTGAAAAATACAACATTCACTTTTGTTTCTGTGGTGTGATGGGTCCATTAAAGGGGTAAGAAGAAATAATCACTAATGACAGTCATAAAACTATTTGCAGCTCAAAATTATTGATCATATAAATTGCTACAGTGCGAAGAACGATGGAGAGGGAGCAGATTCATTAGTAGATTTGAAAGCGTCAAATTAGAGTTCGTGGGTGGGCTGTTACAAATAATTATCCCTCCTTATTTAAATAAGAATGATTTCCAGCTGGCATTTATCATGGGTTGACATCACTTGGAGAACAACTGGAAACCTTGGGGCACTAATATGGAACTCCTCATTAGTGCGCATTGGTGAAAGAAGTAGTCGAATAAGGACAATTGGTCTCCAACCTAGTGGCTCAAGAGCAACATGTTGGCCACGGGACCTGAAGATCACAGGTCTGATCATTGGTAGGGTTATGGGTGCGCACTGCTGAAGAGATGAATAAGAAGACGAAACAGCTGTCTAGTGCTTTGAGGCGATCAGTAGTTCTCCAACTGGTATCAGTTCTTGATGACTGCCAACTTGAAAACAATCAAGTCAAGCCAAATAAAGCATTAACATTTACTAAACAACGTAATTAGCATTGAATATTGAGACAGTAACAATTAACATACTCTGAGTTGTCTAATTTGTTTCGCTTGTTTTCTGATTGTTTCTTCTAGATCATTCTGATACTGTTGTACAGCAAGTTGTTCTTTTGACATGAAATAAGGTGATATCATATTCTAGTGAGCAAGAAAATAGGAAACATTTTTGACTATTGTACAAGATTGAAAAATCATCACTATGAGACAGTGAAAGGAGTTTTGTAACTGCATGATAGTTTCTGTTGAAAGAAAAGTTTAAACATGTATAGTAATGATGGGTAGTGGCTAGCAGTGGAATCCAGGATACACATTTCGTCATTTTTAGGACTCATTGGTCAGCTGGATGTACCTGCCTCCCAGTAAGTGATTTTACTCCCATCGGGATTAGGACTCGGGGGCGATCGCTTCAAACGCCAGAGTGTTACCCACTACGCCGCCGAACCACGATAGCCACTTCTTGTGCCACGGGTATAGCTTTAGTATAATTGTTTTTATATCGTACCGTCATTGATTGGACCGAATTGATCAGTCCCTATTGGCATATGGGCTCCGGTGCGGATGTCTCGATGTTGCTTGTTTTAATTATGTGTAGTAATGATGGATAGTGGCTAGCAGTGGAATCCAGGATGCGCATTTCGTCCTGTTTGGGATTCGTCAGCTGGATCGGTTCAATCAACGACGGTGTAATACAAGCAATAACACTAAAAGTTTAAACAGTTGTTGCGGGATCTATGCATCACCGTTTATTGACGGAACTGTAAGATTCAATTGTACACCACTTATCGAACAATAAACACTTGGACCAATGTAATTTCACTTTATTCGCCAAGGATTTTGCCTCGTCGTCATGTAAATGAGTACTATGTGAGTGTACATCCTCACAAAAGCTACCTATTTAAGACATCTGATTTTCTAATCCAAGTTTAGAGGAATTGCTGCGAAGCGCCGATCAATCGATTATTTAATGAAACAAATTAGAAATGAAGTAAGTGACTCATAACTAAAGGTATAATTAAGCTTGTCTCACAGTAAGATTCATTTTGTTGACAAATATCACTACTAAGGTTAGATGAAAACAAGAGATAAAGGGTCAATTTGTTGAACTACTGGAATATTTAAGCTAGCGGTAAATTGACTAACACTAATTATGGTGATTTATTTCGCTGTGGCTAGCAGAGGAATCCTGGATGCGCGTTTCGTCCTATTTGAAACTCGTCATCCGGATGTACTTGGATTCACCCACTTCAAACACCAAAACGTTATCCACTAAGCCACTGAGATGTTTTTATCAATGGTTACGAGGTTCGAGTCTGAATGGGAAAAACATCACTCATCGGGGTTCAGACACATCCAACTAAGAGTCCCAAATAGGACGAATCATGCATCCTGAATTTCTCTGCTAGCCACAACTAAGCAAATTATCATGATAAATATCCAGGCAATACCCAGACATACGATCCCATATGCCAATAAAGGTCGAACAATTCGATCTACTGTAACAAAGGAGAATATCAAAAATTGTAATGACTAACGCTAAGTTAAAAGTTTTTTTGCTTCACGTTATGGAACGATAAAATAATTGATTTTTTTGTTATTGTCTAGGTATATGCATTTTTGGCCAGTAATATCAGGACAATAAGTTCAACAGTTTCAAATATAGAAAAATCGATAATTTTTAGAATCACTACCCCACCTTGTAATTGATGTTTCGACAGAGAGTGTGTGTGTATATGACATTGTTTCACAAGCAATGTTTACATAATGAATAATGAAGTGAATGTTAAAAGTGTAATGGTGTAAGGTTGTTAAGACATGAAGTGCCAATCGATGTAACTTGATAATTCGAAGTTAGGTAGCTCCAAGTAACCGACAAGAAGCCCTGGAATTAGGTTTCTTGCTTGTTCACGCTCACTAGAAAAGTATATCTACAGCCTCAAGGCAAACTGATGTCCTCTGTGAAGTTTACACCCACATCATTCGTTTCTTCAACCAGAGATGTTAACACTTAGTTATTCAAACCATGACTGACGGCCTGTAAGACTGGATTAGATACACGGATACATTGGTCACTGAAGAGTGATTGATTTCATATTGCCTAGTCCTGAGAGTTGATGGAATTCTATCGATCAATTTACATAACCTCATAACCTCATTTCACGGCTTCCTGTTAGGTGTCTTTGATCGCCTAACATCAATCAAAGTGCGCCGAGTTGATAATTCTCATTGCTTGGTCCATTAATACTACAAACAGAAAATCTCATAATCTTGGTACGTAGAAAAATTAGGGTGAAATTATTTTGGTTTCATTGTTTGTCGCTTTTTGTCATTTCACCGCCATCTATCTTCCAACTTTCTTCCTTCAAAATATCATATAAATCGAGTTCTAATTTTGTTCAGAGACTAATGTAGTTGAACAAGCCGACCAACAACACATTCTAACTCCTAGATTTCTAACTGGTTTCATTCTTACTTCTCTGAATGAAAAAAGTGTGCTGTTTACAGAGGGAAATGTTCCACTGCATGAAACACTGAAGTTGATTTTCTCTTAGGTTCTCTGTTCTTTCCTTTTGTATGACTTGCCTTCTTCAGTTGCAATCAGTTTCATAACCTGACTGTCTCTACGACTGACACTTCTTCATCAGATTGTTCTTAATTTGACGATTTCTTAACTAACATGGAATAATAGTCCTTATGAAATGGTCGTATCGTTAATCCTTTAAATTCTCAGGCTATCGAATTTTGTTGTATTTTCAATGATTCCGTGTATAGTATAGACTGTATAGACTGTAAGCGGATAAAGAGAAGTGTTATATATCCCCAACTTTCAATAAGTTTTGCCTGATGCTGCCTATAACTTTAAAATAACCAATCACTGCTGATTTTGCACCGCTGCTAACTTTTCCCACCGCTATGAAGGATGAACTCTCATTGGTTGTTAACTCTTCTAACTAATCAGTGAATTCAGAATTGTCAAGGTCGTTTAGAATGTATGTATTAACCATCACTCTCAACTGTTTTTGACCACTGTCAACGGCCCATCTTCCTTATTTGTCTTCGCGTATTGGTCGTGTTGTTGTGGTGTTTTTGACGTTCTGATTAACGTTTAGAGTCTATTCGTTGCACGTTAGGTTTGAATCGCTCGTAGACGGCTAGGCTCAGATCACTCGTGGAGTGTTACTTAGCACTACGGGTCATAATAGTAAGTTCTCAGGTAAAAGCAGGAGTAAATACGCAGCATTCGATGTACATACGACTAAATTCGAGAAACTAACTGTACCTGATATAAACTGTATCCTATAGAAAGAAGAAAGTGTAAGGAGTAAACTTATTAAGTAGGTGAATCCATGATTACGTTGTTTACCAGTAGTGTTGGTATTGAGAATCGAATTTTAACTGTGGCTATTCACGATAATTACCTCTAGGTCATGGGATAAACTTCCTCTTTTCCGAAACCTAACTATCCAGACATTTTTCAAGGTAGATTTTTATATTTTGTTGGCAGTATATGTTGAACTTTAAATGGGTATTTTTGCATAGGCTGCTGACACCAGGCTAAGAACACTACAGTGTTTTATCACTTCGTGGCAAAACAGCATATTTTGATCAGAGCTTAAGTTAGTTACGCTTCGCCAACTAATTCTCACTGGAGATCAGCGGTGACTTGAATAGCTCAGCGACAAAGTGACGGAATCCATTACTGAGTAGCACCGGTTCAAATCTCAAAGGAAGGACAAATTTCAAGTAGATCACAAGTACCCCTTGCTGATGAGTGTAAAGCGGTACGAAACCTAACTAACATAAGGAGCACTTAGTGACCCTGACATCCAACATAAAGGTCAGTTATTACCTTTTTCTACATTCTCTGTCATACACATTCAAATACGTTACAGTAGCTTAGAAGTATACCAGTTTTCCCCGATCATACGTTCTTCTTTGAATTTTACCACCGAATATATTTCAGAACCAAAATTTAATTTCACTAACCTCCTCTGGATGTATCGTGTACGTTGAGTTCCCTGGTGGCCCTTGTGGACTTCGCTTTCCATAATCTGACTGAGGATACTCACTTCTACTCTGCCCTTTCCCGTTGAGACTTTTGGTAGTGTTACTATCAGTGATGATATTGTTTCTACTATTTCCATTATGGGTCACAATTTTGTGGTCATCATTATTCATGTTATTTTTAGTTGGAATGGTAGCAGTAGTAGTAGTAGCAGCAACACTAGTTGTAGGATTGATTTTCTGTAAAATAACTTGATATTTTTCATTTAACTGATCATTATTCTCCACCAAACTTTTGATTTTCACCTCTTTCAATTGAACTTCATACCGCAAACTTTCATTTTCATTGATCACTTTTTGATGTTGTCTTGACAAGTTTTCAAGTGTTATCTTGTTTTAATAATTAGAAATGTAGCATTTTTATTGAAGCAGTCCAAACAGTAAGTACATAAGACATTAAATGTGACATTGAAACATTGAATTGAGCAGTGTTCATATTCAGATTTATCAACATGTATTGAAAAATAATGCATTTCATAGCAGTAAGTGAACACTACGTCATAGACTAAAGTGTCTGTAGATAATTAGGAGATCCGTATAAGAGGATACGATAGTTTTATCTATTAATTCTGAGGAAAAAACTTTACACTGCCTCATAACATTAAAGAGCTTTATATCGTTAGCTGTTCAGAGTAGGTATTGAAGATAAGGGTGGAAAATGGTAACCTGTGGATAATCGATGTGGCTGTCTAGATCTTATTCCTCAACTCTGGCTGAAGCTTATTGATCAGCAATGGGCATTGAGGTCCTAACAGCCATGTCAGTTACCAATCATTACTAATTCGCTTAGACAAACAACCCAGTCCTACGTAGAATTAGTCATGGTTTGAATTACCAAATGTTAAGGTATCTGACTTAAGCATTGAGTGGCGCAGTTTTGAGCCGCTGAAAGAAGACCAGTTTCCTAACGATTGCGAATTAACCCTGCTGATGACTGCCATGAAGCGGTAAACCTACTTTAGGCAGAGTCTTCTGTCGAGTGACTTTCAGCCTCCAGTAATGAACTAGATTTCATTTGATTGAGTGTCTTACTTTGATTGATGAAATTAGTTAAATAATGAAAAAATGTGACACATTTTCACAACAAGGATTACCTGTATCAGTTGAACATTGCACCGCATTTCAGGCAGTTATACATTGTAACAGGCTAAAGTTCAGTATTAGTATAACTGCTTGTATTATAGCGTTGTTCATTGAACCGAATTGATCGGTCTCTATTAGCTAATATGTTCCTGTGAGGATGCCTTGATATTACCTGTGTTCTAAAATTGTAGTAATAGGATGAAATGAGCATCCTAGATCCCACTGCTAGCAACTATCTATCCTTACCATAAAGTTCAATATTTTTACTTGGAGACTTTATAGTTCATTTCTTGAAGTATATTTCATACTTTGAACCCGAAGCAAAATAAATGTATACTTCATGAATTGAAGTAAGATTCCTAAGTAAAAGATAAGAATATGAAGTACCAATCAATAATCATACTATGTCAAATGATGGCTACTTCAGACAGTTTCACTCAGCATGCCTTTCCCTATGATTCAGCTTTATTTGGAGTGGAACAAAATGATCTAGCCAGGCAGGTGATGCGATTGCGATGAATGGGAAGTTATGCGTTCTACAATCGCAAGATAGATGGATGAAAGACCCCGGTGAATGAAGTGAAGTTCTGACTAGGTGTCGTAGCTCGGTTGGTAGAGCACCGACTTGATGACCTGAAGGCTGTTGTTTTAAATTCTGTCACAACTTAGATTTTAACTTAATAATAATGGCTTTATTCTGAAAGATATTTCGGGAATGCTCCACAGAATTTTCAGCACATATAGTATCAGTTGGATAGAGACAGTATACACGTATACATAGCAAAATGAAATAAGTAGAAATTATATTGAGAAAAGGTAAACATATTCGCTCTGTCTACAACCTTCTTCAACATGCACAGTCAATTAAGGCAGACAATCACATTGGCTATTCGATTCACAATACGTAAAAAAGTAACACACTCATCTTCAATTAGTTTGCTTTCAAAAACAGAAGTTGATTAGTTAGCTCATTTCTAATACTAATATAAGTGTAAAACTTGGGCACTGTGGTAGAATGTAATTCCATATTAGATTTGTTTATTTGATATATAGCGCACAGTGATACAGTATTATTTACTTGATTACGTTTCGAGCATAAATTATTGCTCATAATCATATCAATGTAATCACACTTCTTTCGACATCTGATTTTATAGTCCTATCACCTGATTTCTCTTTGTTTTTTGTTTTTTGATCGGTAGTAAAGTTTTCCATATCTCTGGTATAGGTGTTGCGCCATTCCTATTACATGTGTTGGGTGTAGATTTGATGAACAAAGATTCAGTAATTAATCTCTCTCCATTTAGCTATATTAACTAAATTCCTATGTTCTGCTAATCTAACTGACCCCGACCGGCTAGTTTGACCTATGTATTTGACTTCACAGTCATTACATGGAATTTGGTAGATTATATTATTTTGCTTAATTGGTTCTATCGGATCTTTTAGCCGACAAAGCTTACCTCTAAGTGAGTTTGTTGGTTTAAATGCCACCCTAATTCCAACCTTGTTGAGAATCCTACGTATGGTTTCTGATGTTCCTTCCTTGTATGGTATCACAATAGAGGTGTTGATTTCCTTTCTACTTATGTTGTCACTATTATTTGTATTTGTATTAGTGTTATTATTTTGCTTCTTATGCGTCCGTGTGAATTTCTTAATAAAATGATGGGGATAATTATTAGTTATTAACGCTTCTTTTATGTGTTTCAATTCCTTATTTAAGTCCTTACAATGACTAGTGAGTTTCTCAGCTCTGTTATTTAGACATTTGACTAAACCCGCTTTAACTGACACTGGATGAGATGACTTGAAGTCTAGATACCTGTTAGAATGTGTTGGTTTTCTGTAGACGGTAGTATCTAAACCACCATCTATCCTTCGTTTTATTCTGCAATCCAACATAGGTAATTCTCCTTGTTCATTTTCTACTTCGTAGTGAATTGGATTGCGTTAACTACTGAGTTTATGTGTGTCAAGAAACTGTCGATATGTTCCGATTTCAACACTGTAAATGTGTCATCTACATATCGCCACCATATCTTAGGTGTCGGATTATATGTTCGTAAAGCCATATCTTCCCAACTATCCATAAATATATCTGCTACTATAGGGGATATTGGTGATCCCATTGCTACTCCTTCTGTTTGTCTATATATCTTTCCCTGAAACTTGAAGACTGTCGAGGTTAAGCATAACTGCACTCCTAACATGATTTCACCAACCGATGCCTTGGTTCTTTGAGTAAGTTGTGAGTCAGTATCTAGTTGATTTCTGACTGCCTCCAGTGCCATATTGATTGGTATTTTAGTATAAAGACTTGTTACGTCAAAACTAACCATTTTTTCATCCTCTTCTATGTGCAGGTCATTAAGTTTTTGTTTCAACTCGTAAGAATTTACTAGTCTAGAGTTGGAACGGTCTCTAACAGGACGTAATACTGATGCTAAATACTTTGATATCTCATATGTTGGTGTGTTTCGGAAGTCAACTATCGGCCTAATGGGATAACCTGCTTTATGAACCTTAATAGTACCGTAAATTCTGCTAGGATTATTAGTTTTTGGCATTAAAGTAAACCATTCGGACTTACCTAGAGATGGCTTCAGTCGGCGTATCAGATCTGTTGTAGATTTCTTAATTTTATTCATGACAGTATCTATAGGTTTCTTAATCTCTTCATATGGCCCTGTTTGGATATGTTCATCCATTTTTTTAAGATAATCCGATTTGTCCATAACTACTGTTGAGTTACCTTTGTCAGATTTAGCAATTACTATACTATTATCCTTTCGTAGATTGTTTAAAGCTGAATTTTCCAGTTTCGTTAAGTTTCGCTGTGTCTTCTTTTGTTTTTTAAGTGCTAATGCACACTGCGCTCTAACCTGTTCAGCAGTTGTCACATCCACCGAGCTTAATGCTACTTCTATGCTAGGTATGACATCTTCTGGTTTTAGATGATCTACTGTTATGTTGAAGTTTAGTCCTTTTTCAAGTACTTTCATCTCAGCTGAGCTTAAGGCTTTCGAGGAGAGATTGACTACCCACTTTGTTCTATCGATGTTCGATGATGTTTCCTTTGTAATTTCATTGTTTTCCGAAGCATATTTTTCTTGCATTAGTTTATTGAACTTTTTGATTTGATTTCTTCTAGATTTCTTGAGAGTAGCTAATCTTGCTTTGTCTGATGTTTCTATTATAAATCCATAGTCTCTGCAGTTTACTATCTTCATAATTTTACATTTAAGTTGTTCAATTTTATTCCGAATGGTACTTAATTTCTTAATAATCCTGTGAATTTCTTCTTTCAGACATAGTTTGCTGACATGTTCTATTGCCCTTTGGATTTTGTCAGTATATATTGGGATTCGTATGCGAAGGTATTTAGGGATAATTTGATTTTTCATGCAACGAATATTGAAAATACGATGATTTGTGAAACGTGCTTCAGTTTGTGAAAGTCGTGTGAGTTTATTGACTAGCCTTCTAATACTTTCTTCATCACACAGCAGATGAGATAAATAGGGTATTGTAGAGTTTTTATATTTTGTAGTATTTGCAAAGAGTCTTATGTACTTGTTCCTTGTCTTTCTAAGATGACCGACACGTAGAAAGTTTTGAGTGAAGAAAATCCTGTTCATCTAATAGGACAACTCCTACCACATGTTTATATAAGTTAATATGTTTGTCCACAACAGTTTTACTTAGAAGGTTTAGGGGTTCTACTGAAAATCTTGAAAGCTCTACGCAATATAGTATAGTCTTTTTTCAACAACCCAGGAAAAAATAAAGGGGAGCAATAGAGTAGGATAGGCAAGATACAGGAGTTTATAAAACATAAGAGGAGAGGCTGAGTAATACCAGATACTCTCAACTTCCTAATATAGAAAGTTAGGCAGAGAATCGTTTTGGAAATTAGTGAGATATGAGAAGACCAGAAAAGGTCGGAAGAAAAACACACCAAGATAAATCACGTTTGTAACATTCTCTAGTACCCGACTATCAATAGAACAGGAATCATTAGAACTAAGCAGTTTACATAAGTTATGTTCACGTCTAAAACTAAAGTTTATGGTCTGACATTTTAAAGAATGAAGCATAAGACCATTCTTGAAGGATCATCATCTAATAGTAGATAGGAACTCACTCAGTTGGGAGCAGTCTGTTGAAGAAGAGATAGGTATGAAAACTGTTAGGTCATCAGCAAATTTAATGAAATTGATACCACCTGAAGACAGTAGGTCATCCAGAAAGAATGAGAAAATACATGGGAAAAGGATGGTTCCTTGGGGATTTCCAGCCACAGTAAGCAATGAGATGGAGCGCTTCCCTCTATGAACAGTGTATTGTTCCCTATCAGAGAAATAGGATTGTAGCCAGCTGATTATGCAGGACTCTGTATTTGTCGCGGTAAGCTTCTCCAGAAAAAGAGGTCTTGGAACAGAATCAAATGCTGAAGTATAGTCTAAAAAGGCACACCTGACACACTTGGCATTTTTATCAAGACTGTAAGCAATATCGCGGTATAAGAGAGTGGTGGTATCCACTAATCATCATTAGTTAGCACCTAGTATCAGTAACTCCATTCTGCCAAACAATGATTATCTCAAACGGTCTTACAAATAATAAAATAAGTTTTATTCAGTCCATGAACTTAGATTTAGTTCTACATGCTTGTTCATGTTGTCATGCAGAAGAAAAGTATTTGAAAAGGCTGATAACTTATACTGTATTTGAATATAGAATGGTTATCAGTTCAGTATAGAAGGCTTTTAGTACCTGGAGTTGTGGCTCATTGGTTCAGAGAGTTGGCTTTCAACTATTGAGTCACGCTCCACCTGCTAAGATTTAGGCAGCCAAATGGAAGTATCATTAACTCTCACCTAATAGGTGTGAACAAGTTTACTGAGTGGATTTCGATTCGTCTTTTTATGAGTGACTGGCACTGTAATAGTTGTAAGTATGATTCTTGGGGCTTTATGTATTCACCTTTTATTGATAGCTCTATGATTGCGGTCATAAATGACACAGATAGAAAGATATCTTACTGAATTAAAATGGCTATTTCTCAGTGACTTCTGAAAAATTATACGACTTATTTTATAATACTTTGAGGATCACTTATTTCGTCTTTGAATCATGAAAGATTATTGAAAAGTGAAGAACGCTGAAGATAGTAGGTACTCTGACTCTTTACACTGTCTAGTAGGTTCACGATGATCTTCAAGCTTTGAAGTCATCAGCTGCTATGGTAGAAGATTTTCATTTCAATTTTTAATTTCATATCACTGTGTGGTCAGAAAAAACCTAATTGGCCAATTTTACTTTACAGTTGACCAATGAGGATAAGTTATTTGACTTTTGACCTAGTGGCTTTATATATTCATGAAAACTGTCTATAAACAATGTATTAGTGACAATGAAGTTAAAATTTGCGAGGAATTTCATGAAATATACTCCACTGGGTTAACATCAACTATTGTACACTTAGTGTGCTGAGTACTGGAAGTTTTGGGTATTATGCAAAAGAGAAGAATTAATAGATAAATTAATTAAAATAGCCTTAATTGGCAGGTTGATACTGGCACAAATAAAAAACCAGTTAGGGATAAGGTTGTAGTAAATGATCCTAGGTCGAGACAGTATTCCGGTTAGTAGCTCATAATTTCGAATCAAAATTTTTCAAGCATAACTCACAGTTTCCACATATTAGAACAACAGTGTATTGTCATCAAGTGATACGGGATAAGAACAAAATGTTCCAGCTGCTAGTTTGAAGAAATTTACTCATCTAAAGGGAATTCTCCCCACAAGAGCGCTGGAAAGTTGTTTCTTCCTAGACTGAAACTTCTCAGCCGTGTGTTCAATGATAATTCGCTCGCCACCAGACCTAGTGGACCTGGGTTGGACTCCCTGCGGGGTCATTGGGTGTGCACTGCGGAGAAGTCTCAAACTAGGCTATAACAGCTGTTCATATATCTTAGGATATTAATGCTTCTCTAACTGATATGAGTTTATAAGGAAAATGCTTTAGAACAAAACTTCTGTTTGTAAGTCAAAAGGTAACAAAATTCTCTCATGAGTATCTATTTTGTGACTGAAACTTCCTTTTTTATAATTTATAATTACAGAGAACGAAAATATTTGTATTTTCTTACACTTACTTGTAAATCACCTAAGTTTTTCTGGTAATCATCGAAAGCTTTTCCTAGTTTTTCATGTTTTTCTTTTTCTTGATTGATAATAAACTGCGTATGACGTTGTATACCAGCGAATTTAATGACAGTGATCTATGGACATATAGAGAAGAAACTAATCTCAGGATATTTGAAAGACACAATACTACCTCAGAGAATTTCATACAATTCTTTCCCTTCACAAATTTGAATAGAGATTCACCTTATTTCGCAGTTTCTCATCAGCTGCTTACAGCCTGAAATAAGTCTACCATCATTTAAGTGTTTGCATACTTGAATTAGTTTGGTGGAAAATTGTTAGTTTGGAGCAGAGAAAATTAATAAAAGAAAATTTAACGGAGAGAAATTTCTTTGTCATGAATCATTTTCAAAAAGTGTACATCATAGTCATAGTTACGACAGAATGTATATATCCCTCAATGGCTAGTGCGTCGATAAAGTCAAAAGGCGATAACAGCTAGAAGACCAACTCAAGGTCATCATGAAGTATAGTGAATAAACCGTGATAGAGAGATTACTACCAACCAAAAAGAAATTAGAGATTTAACAAAAACAGCAGGCATGTAATGCTAGATTGCTACAGCTTCTGCTGTATTGAGGTGACGAATACGCACTCTCTTCACAATGTTCGTCTTCACTTTATAAATGACTTTGAAATGACCAAATGCTTAAAAATTGAACTGTTGGCAGCCTTACACTGTCCTTTTAACAGGAATACAGGAAAGTGTTTGGAGATGCGTCTAGATAAAACACGCTTTGTGCGGCCTATGTAGCAAGCTTACAAGAGCAGGTGAATTGGTAAACACACATGGAGATGGTCCAAAAGCGATAGTTTATCCTTTACACACCCTCAAATCAGCTGTTGACTGGAGAAAACAATCCAAAGTTAAGCGGAAAAAGTTCTCCTTAGTGCTTTGCGCTGTTGATTCTTCAGTACCTCTGCCAATGTATCTCACTTGAAGCTAATATTCACAAACCTTAAAGGCTTCTTCTTTGAAATTCTTAGGCTTTATGTTCCTCTTAGTGAATCATGATGTAATTGAAAACACATGAATTGTGAGAATAAACATGAAGAGCTAACATGCAGAACTACGTCTGTGAATATATGAAAGGATTCGAGGAATATGCTAGAGTGGAAGTTGGATAACAGGAAGAGATAAATGTATTCATAAGATTTATGTTGACTAAGAGCAGCTAATGTGATCAGAATTCAGATAAGTAGGTCAAGGGTGTATAATGTTAAACAACAAGAAAGAACAACCAACTTGCATGAATCGACATTGGTGTGTAAAAATCCATGACGACTTTCAACAACGCAAAAGTCTTTACCATAGTAGACGTAGACTAATGAATGTTCCTTTCTGAATACATAAATTCGGTTTTAGTCGTTGAATGGTTAACGCCTCAGTGAAATGCAACAAATTCGAATTCACCTGTTTATTAGCTGTTTTCGAGGATTTCTGAATATTGACTTCATATCCATTACTGACAAGGATAACAAGCAATAACGCTGTTTAGGACTTTCCCACCTCTCAGTCACAAACTCCTTGGATTATGCACAGACATGCGGACACGAACCCTTCTTTCTGTTCTTTCACTGTATATGCTTTGAGACGTTCATGTGAATTACTTTGTTCAGTTGGAGGTAACATGAAGAGGAGACTTGTCAAACTTTCATAGTCTTAGTGAGCAATTCATTCGATAGAACCTGATTAACCAAGAAGCTGGATAAGCCCTTTTCAAGACAACATTTCTCCTGTAATTACTTCTTCTAGAAACATCATTACCTTTGAAACCAACATTTAGCAAAACAAGCTTCATCTCGACTATATCACACTTTATGGTTTAAATCGGTATATTCTTGTGCTGATTGATGAATTTCTGTGGATATCCATTATCATGGAGACCATTTTCAACAATATTCATTTCCTCAGCCAGTATCTCTTTAAAATAAAGATGCTTTATGCCGTTGAAGAGTGTTTTCACCAAACCTTTCTTATAACTAATGGAACAAAAACTGTTGAAGTTAAGATACATTCCAATTCAAGAATCTTTACGATGAATACGTCTTGGTGAATTACCATCTGTAATTCTTTGAATTCCGACATCAAGGAAGTGAAACTTATCATCCTGTTCATATTCCATTGTATATTCTATACTTTGGTGTGTTTTGTTGATAAGACTAAGCAGTTATGAGGCATGTTTCAGGTTGTTGTAAACAACGAGTGTATCATCAAAATACCTGCTATGGGAGGTTGCTTCGATTACATACTTCATACTCGTACTGTTAGTTCTGCATTGTTATTCACTCAATTCGTCTGTCTTCAATTACGTGATATCGATGTTATGTATATTTCAAGCCAATAATTTTCTATCAAATTGATTCAAGCATGCAAACATTTTTTACAAATGGATATTAAAATTGTTTTGGGTTGTAAGCAACTGATGAGAAACTGCGAAATAAAAATGGACCCATTATTTCTCCTGCTAAAGCTATTCTTCTTGTTCTGCTTAAGTAAGAAAAGTTAATATGATTTTCACCCCCCATCCATCCATCCAGATCAACATAGGACCAGGCATTACTGCATAACGGTCCGAGTTGCCACACCTTATATCACTACATCAAGTAAAAAGGCGGTGAAGTGAAAGATGGGGAAAAGAAAATTCAGTCAAAAGAAACATAAAGTACTAAAAGTGAGAAAGGAAGAATGAGAAAATGGTGAAACTCGGTATAGCGTCGTTAAGATGAGGATAATGTGTGTGGGGACACATCTGCGCCACTCACATCAGTTCTGAGCCATATCCCCTAGAGTCTCTAACCACTGGTTCCTCTTGTCCCGCCGACCCCAACCACCTAGTCTGCATCGTCTCACATGTCTCAAACCAACAGTCATGTTTTAGTCTGGCCACCTCGACCCTTTTTACAGCCTCCACCTACTTCGGCCAACATTGTATGACGAGGCAGTCGGTGACTAGGCATACGTAGTATGTGTCCCAACCATCTCAATCGATGGAGGTTCATAACCTCGTCAACTGATTTACCTCTTCTTCCTGAAACCCTATACCTGACGTCTGCATTACTCACGCGGTGACACCACGGAATACGGCCTGTACTACGAAGTCAAAGGTGGTCAAACACTTGAAGCCTTCTCATATCTTCCACCATCAATCGCCATGTTTTTCAGCCACAGAATAGAACAGACCAGACTGCTGTGCAGTACACACGACTCTTAATAGACGACCTGATATCGTGGCGGCGTCATAGCTGGGGTAAATTGGCAAAAGCCAATCGAGCCTTTTGTATCCGTGCAGAGATTTCATCAGCCACTGAACCACTAGGGCTGATCCTACTTCCCAGGTAAGTGAAGTGGTCGACACACTCAACCACTACACTCTCTATTATTAGCTGAGGGACCGTTGAAGACCAGTCCTGGAGCAACAATTTCCATTTGGGTGGTGAGAAACGCATCACAAACATTCTCAAGTTGCCACTCAAATTGTCCAGAAGACTCTGCATCTTGTCAGCGTCTTCACCTTTCAGGACTATGTCATCTGCGTATTCTAGGTCTAACGAAAATTCTCCTGAGATTAGGTCAACCTCTATGTAATCAATGACGAGAGGGAGACCTCCATAAGAATATCTATGATAAAATTGAATAAGAATGGAGACAGTGGGTACCCTTGACGGACACCACTTGATGAGCACAGCTCCTGGGACATCTCACCATAGGCTCTAACACTCCCACAAGTGTTCGAGTAGAGAACGCTCGATGAAGTGAGGTACTTACTCGACATGCTTTTTAGTGAGAGGTTTTGTCATGAGGCTTCTCGATCACCGGAGTCGAATCCCGCCTTGAGGTCGAGAAATACCGTTATTGCCGGGCATCGGTAAACGTGTCTGTGTTCTAAAACCTGCCTCAGTGTGAATATTTAGTCGATACATCCGTGGCAAAGTCTCAATCCTGCCTGGTTTTTTCGGGCTTGCTGTCCCCGAGCTCCACTCAGGCGTCGACGAATTTTAGAACCTAGGATTTTAGATACTGTGTTCGTCAGGCTGATTACTCTGTGGTTATCAAAAGTGGACGTCTTGCCTCTCATGAGGACTGGGATAATCAGTGATTTAGACCAATCAGAGGGGATCGTATTTGATTCTCATATACTGGTTAACACTTCTGTGAACCTGAATAAGAGCACATTACCACCGTCCTTGTATACCTCTGGAGTGAGTCCATGTGGCCCTCCCGCCCTTCCTCGTTTCAGATTACCTACCGCTTTCTCAACTTCTCCTAGTGTTGGTGGGCCTATCTCAATGTTCCATTCAGGATCCGACTGGATAGCTGGCAGCGCAATACTGGTTAACACTTCCGTTAACCTGACTAAGAGCACTCTACCACAGTCTTTGTATATTTCCCTATACCACCCTATACAAAATTTATCACTGATAGGAAAGAACCAGAAGTAAAGAACATATGGACATTAATGCCACCGCATCTATCAGTGACGATTGTGGTGGTGACGAAATTTAGAATGGCTATGACAATATACGTACCCTGAAAAGATTACAAAAAGAAGGGAAATCGGTAGCGTTCAGAGTATGTACAAATGTGAACTGAAGACCTTGGTGGATAGTCGGCGATATACTTTCACTGAAGTGGGTAATGTTGTTTTCCTAGAAGATTGGAACTCATCACTCTTCACTTCAAACTCCAGGTCATCATGCAGTCGGTCAGTTTAGTTCACTCAACGATGAGGAATTAAGAGCCATTAATTTCAACTGTACCCTTCTTACAATGAGTGACTGTTATGAATCAGCAGCCTAGTGGGTAACTCTGAGGCATCTGAAGTGATGGATGCATGGTTACAGTCTCAGTGGGAACACCCGGAAGCAGATACATTCAGCTGATGAGTCTTAAGCAGGCTGAAACACGCCTTTTGGATGACATCACTTGCCACATTTTACCGGAGTCAATTATGCCGCATAATTCTTAAAATATCATATGGATTTCTTTCATCATCAAATTTTTGACTAGATCAGTCTATGGGGTTGTGAACCTTCACCGACTGAGGTGGCTTGCACATCTGTTGCACATACT